TATAGTAATATGAAACTACTAGCTTGCACTGTAACTTCTCTTAATGAATCATGGCCTTCTTTGCAACAGTTAGAAAGCAAAAAATATTTTGAAGTATAACACAGATTGCAGCTAGAAATGAATACAAATTACTTAACTGTGTACAGTTAAAATAATGAAAATACTTTTGTGTTTTGAATTCAATTCAATAATAGCTATGGTTTCTGAAAAAAAATATATGTTTTTCATTGGATACTAGTAAATGCTAAGAAAAAGTCACAAATTATACGTAACTATAAAAATAACTGGTGAAAATATGGTATATGAGCTGATAATTGGGTCAGGTGGCTGGAAGAGGCCAATCTTGGGCCAGGAATAAAAAGATGGAGGATGGGAAAATAGAAGAAATGATTTTACAATAAGCATAGTTGAAAGGGAAGTTTAATTTTGCCTTCAGTGCTGACTGTCGTAAATGTACATATGTGCATACTACAACATGTAGCAATGATAACATAGCTCATATGTGGGAAGAGCTAAAGAAATCCCTGGCAAATGTAGTCCTTTACTGTATCTTTTTTACATTTCTTGGTAAAAATGCAGATCTGTGTTATCACATTGATCAAATTATTATTTAAAACATCATTCCAGCACTTTGCTGTAGCAATGATTACCTTTTAGAAAAATAATTTTCTTCCCTTCTCTTCCCATTTCCTTGAAATAGAAGATACCAAAAGAGGCAAAGAAACGGCAGTTATGATCGCTTTTGCTCTTTTTTTTTGTGAAAAATCTCCACATTTTTCATTTAGTGTTCTCTTAGCCCCCCCCCTTTCTTTTTTGAGAAACTGCTGTTTCCTTGATCCTCGTGGAATTTTTTTGAAGCTGAAATACATGTTAAGCTTCTAATGCAGAATTTGGAATTCTGTATTAAATCAAGAATGTTCCTAATACATTTATTAGCAAAACTTCCTAAGAAAGAATCTCTAATTTGGGGTAATGAAGAGTCCCTAACCTCTGTACATGTATGCTACTTTTGGTGTTTTTTTCTCTGCAGAGATAAACTCAATTTCTGAAATAAAGTGAATAAAATAGAACATGGAAATTGTGTACTTTCTACCATTTATTATGGCATCAAAGAGTATAAGATAATGCTGAAAAGTATAATGCTAAGTTAACCTATTTTTAAGGTCTGGAAAATCCTAAAAATATTTGCATATTTATTTCACTTGAAAGCCAACACCAACATGTCTTCAATAAGCATCGTAGTAGCTTCCCCACCTTGTATTTGAATTGGAAGTTTGGTTATTGTAGTACTGACACATCTGGGAAGCACCGGTTCCATCATATTATGTAAACAAATGTGGTGTTCCTACACGTAAAAACCATTCCCAGTCATTCTAATGCCAAGATTAGACATTTGAAGAATTAAATGTATGCATAAATACATCTTTTCCTATTAATCTGCATGTCCAGACTCTGGAAGATGCACGCACTCTTGAAATTCAGAATGCTATATATTTTATTAAAACAAAATCAATAATGAGGGATATCAATCAAATTATCCCTATTTATTGAATAAATGTACCAGTAATTTCACATAGTTGATTTTCGGGATCTAAAAGGACATAAAACTATTAGGTTTTTTTTATCTATTATCATTGTACTTTATTCTCAGAAATATTTGTGATACCCTTTGCTTCCAAAAAGAGTCCTAGAAATAAAAAAGCTCAAAAGCAATCAGTCAAGGAATTTTATCAGATTTGCTTACCAACTATCTAGAAAGTAGAGAATACTCCAAACTACAAATATATTAATTACATGAGCTATGTTTAAGCATTTACCTATACGTATAAAGGACTCGGTCCAATCTTCATGCATTCAAATGGGTGATCTAAAAGGGAAGTATTCTCAGACTGATTAGAAGACAAATATAGCTCTCCATATGATCCAGGATATTTTAAAGCATTCTCTACAATTGGGTGCCTTCAAGTCAGTACTGACTCTCAGTGAATGCCTGGACTAGTCTATACAGTTTACTTGGCAACATTTCAGAAGTACTTTGCCATTGCCCCTTTCCTAGAGCTAAGAGAGAGTGACTGGCCCAAGATATCCCAGCCAGCTTCAGATCCAAGGGATTATAGTTTCCTGGTTGCCTTAGCTGTTGTCCCAAATGACTCTCTTCTATTTTCTAAAAAGTTTATCTTAAATAGGTTTTACACCCTGAACAAGAAATAAATATTCCCAAACTAGATAACGTGTCTTTCTTATAAATTAACCCACAACTCTACATTTTTGTTAACTTGAAACACTTTCTTCTTCATCATCATCATCATACATTAATGCATATCATGTACTAATATATAACCCATATTTTTTAAAACTTTAAAACTATAAACATAGGATAAAACATTTCTAAATTACATTCGAGAGAGAGAGAGAAATTTTATTTTCAGTCATTTTTTAAAACTAATTAAGAAATAGAAAATAGAAAATCTGGGAAATACAACTTCTTAAAAAATCTTTTCCTTCTATGTAACTATTATCACCTCTGACTTGTACTGACCTTAGAATTAGACAAAAAAAGGGAATCATGACATACAAAAATCTTTATCTAAAAAAATGGGAGTTTATATTAAGATGTAGGAATGTTTTTCCTTTATATTTTTATATTCATATCAGAGAAAACCCTTAAAAAAGTATTACATATAACCTAATAAATATGATTATATAACTAGAGCTATTCAATTCCTTGGTAAAAGGTACTTTGGAATAAGTGAGCACACATACCAAGCACCTCTTTTCATATTGTTAAAGCAGCCATGTCTTCTTCCAGGACATGAGGCTGTTCTGAAAACTGCTCTAAAGCAACTTCACAAACAGCCATTCAAGCCTGGAAAAAAGATAGGGATGCTTTAAGGATCTGAAAAGACCCTTTTTTTATGTGTTCCCATACATTCAAAACCCTTCTGAAACAACCTTGCTTACTGGAAATGTTGAAATGAAAGCAGTATACATGGAAATGCATAATCATTTTTATTAAGAAAAAGATACAATTCACTCACCCATTTCCATCTGTTTTTCGAACATAAAGTTCTAAGAATATGTACATACACACATACAATTCCATATTCACTGAGACCAAGATCCCGTCCCTATGCAAATAAATATATTTGCAATATGTGTTTATGTGTGTGTGTATGGGGAGGGGGGGGGACAGAGAGACAGAGAGAGTCAAGGAACATTTATAAAAAGACATAGAATGGGAATGTGCTCAGGTGACATGATAATCAACAGCCTGCCTTCTGAAACATCCACTCAAACCCCTATTTCTCTTTTTATTTATTCTCAGTAACCACAATGGGCTAAAAAGTGACATGGTGTGAAATGAAACCGAAGCACTGAAGGGAAAGGAATCAGCCATGAAGAAAAATGAAAAAGGAGTAGGATTCTATGCTCTGCAAAATGCCATTTTTGCATCAGAATATTTAACATTTAGAATATTTAACCTTTAATAGTTTGTTAGCCTACATCTGCTTGACGGCCAAAATACTGTACTGTATATCTTTCTAGATGTAGTATTATGTTGTTAACTTCAACAAGCACAAATATAGTTTTACTACATACAGTATATCCTTACAAATTCCTGAAAGAATACTAATTATATAGAACAGTAGTTTTTAAACTGTTTCAGGCAAATACCTTTTTTCCTGGGCTTGAATAATGCCATTAACACAGGGAAAAAAACCCCAACTTTATTGTTTTCACAAGCATCTTAGCAACAGTATTCCCAAATTGGGTCCGCGATTTAAAAAGTAGCAATTAGCCATTACCCCAGAATATACCCCAGTTTAACATCCATTGACCTAAGCTAAAACCTTGACTTTAGAGGTGATGTCTGCAGCTTTGTCTAAAATGGTATAGGTTGGTCTAGAAGACCTCCAAGGTCCCTTCCAACTCTGTTATTATGTTCTATTCTGTTCTGTTCTCTGCACCCTCTTTCCCTAGTAATTTCTTCTCTAGTTCATGGATTAAAGTCAATTTTCACTGGACCATCTATCATGCAGGGACTGCTGCTCTGTTTCTGGGTACAACCATTTTAAGTAAAGAACTTGCATGAACAACAATGTAGATTTTCAGCTGATTTTATCACCACAGGAATGTCAGGGTAGTTTGAATCTCATTGCAGCCTTGAGAATAAAAATGCTTTTTTTTCTTTTCTTTCTTTTTTATCTAAAACTCACGTTACATATAAACACCTCATTATGATAAGAAAACTGGTGAAAGAAGGATCTAAAACAGATTCATGTATATTCTTTGCATATAAATAGATGCTACTTCCCTATCTTTACTTTTACAGTGGGAATAGTAGGCAGGGGGTTGGGTGGGGGGTTGGACTAGATGACCTACAAGGTTCCTTCCAATTCTGTATTCTACTTCCTTACATAGCAATTAAGTCTATTTTAGGAATAAACTACCTACTTTTTTGGAGGAATGTAATCATATCAGAATTATAGTCATTTAGAACTGATGATAGGACTTCATGCCCTTATCTTAAGGATCCATGGATAAAAAACCATGCTGGTTAACGCAAGGAGAAGAAACCTGGTCAATGCCAGGTCCTCTGGTTGGTCAGTGAGGAAAATATATTGAAGCAGGGGAGGTGTTGAAGAAATGTTAAGGCAAGATCCGATCTGAAATCTCCAGACTTTATATGAAAAGTTCTTCAAAAATAAAATAACTGTAATATTTCTTGCAAAATATATTAATATATATCAAGTGAGGTGGAACCTACATTGCACGTAAATTAATTTCTGTTAGAACCAATCCCATACATCAATCTACTGAAAATCAGTGAATTCAACAGAAACGATACAACAGAAATATGCTACCTATACATATTTAAACAATTTGAATAACTGTTTGAATAAGAGAACTGAAGTGTATACCTGTTATTGTCTAAATAACTATGTAAAACAGTCAGCAGAGAAACGTATGGAAAGAAGAATTAAAAGCAGTCATCTTACCTTTCATTCCAAACTTAGAGTGTCTTCCAAACTTGAGAATAATGAGCATAATAACTAAGCCGGTGCACACCAGTGCAGCAATCCCCACTACAACATACACCTAAGAATAAAACAAGCAACCATAAATCAAACTGCTCAATTTTTCAGGTTTTGCTATTCTAATAATATTAATTAGATTATTTGCTATTAATATTAATATAATATACTGGCAACATTCTTAAACATATAGTAAGGGTGCGTGGAGGGGGTTTCTTCCATTCAATCATGTCTAATTATCAGAGGCTGCCTGGACAAGTCCCTGCAGTTTTCTTGGAAAAATTTTTCAGAATTGTTTTGCCATTGCCTCCCTTCTAGGGATGAGAGAAAGTGACTGGCCCAAGGACATCCTGCTATCATTATGCCTAAGGCAGGACTAGGACTTTACATAGCTCCTCTAACTTGGCATCTTCTAAATGTGCTTGAACTACAAGTACCAGAACTCCAAGTTTACTAGTAAAATCAAAGGATAGACATCTGGAGACCGAAATCCAAGCATAATGCTGCAGAAAATTAAATGAAGGAAATGTGAACATGATTTTAAACCAGGATATGCCAACTTTTTGGTCATTTCAATTATTTCAGGGTGCACTGCAGCCTTTCAGTTAGCATTATGCTTTATTTTTACATGTTAAAGAAAACAAGTTCAAAGTGTAAATGAAAGCTACATTCTTGTGGCTTGGGAGCCATCATTTCCTAGTATCAGCTGAAATGCATGAATCAAATTATGTAAATAATGTTATGTCTAAATTTGACCAGCTTGTCCTTAAAAAATTGCTTCACATTACAAAACCACAGCTTAAAGCTCCAGGGTACATGCAAAATAGTGTCTTGTTGCAAGCTAAAATATCCTAGGCCAACTAGATTCTTACTCAGAAAGTCTATTGTGATTATAAACCAGGAAATGATGTTTATACTTACAGTGATGCTATCTTCATTGTCTTTGTTTGAGACATCCGTAGAAGTAACTTGATTACTATTATTTGTAGTGTCTTCAAAATCATTTGTTGGTGTTCCATAATCTTCTAAGAGAAAGAATATATTTATTTTCTTTCAGTATTGTAAATTTTGTGTGTGTGTGTCTGCTAAAAAAGCTAAACGCATACGATTAAAATTTGCAAAGATTTTGGAACACACTGTTCAATTCTATCTACTTATTTTCCACGTTGCTATATGACTTGTTTAGGACTGAAGGTGTGTGGAAGTCAGAATGAAGATTATGGGAAATAACAGAAGAGATATGGAGATATTTAGAGGGAGGGAGAAAAGCTACACTCATATGTACTATGAGACAGAATACTAGACAAACTGGAGATACCTGTAGAAAACTGTGGAAATATTCATGATTGCCTGAGACAACTGAAATTCCCTAGCTTTTTCTGCTGCTTCTGACCTGCTATTGTTTGTGGGTTCTATGTATATTTTTAAATCTGAAAAAGGAACCTATTTTCAAACAAAATGCAAAGATTTTAAAAGTTGTGGGAGTATTTTTAATGTAGTAAATCTGGGAATGTTTAAGATGGAATATAATAAAATCTATTAATATAATAAAAATTAAATTACTGCACAATGCAGAAACATTCCAAACCGGCAAAAAAGCTAACTTCCAGCTAACATACCATGCAATAGGAAAACAATTTAATTCGTGTAGGAATCTGAAAGGACAAAAGAATAAATTTTTTTAAAAGCTCTTCAATAATTTCCCCATTAATTTTCTTCTAAATGTCTTTAGTTGATACAGAAATGTGATGAAATAAAATTAAGACTGCACAAATGAGAACTTGAGAGAAACAAAATTCATAGATTGGTCTCTCCCTGGTGCTATGTGGGCCAGAATAGCAGTATTGTGAGAAATAATGCTGCTTTTTGAGAAATGCTAACTATTTAAGGTCGGGATTAATTATTTAATCCAATCAAAATAGGAATGGTTTTGATTCCTTCAAAATTCACTGTAATTCTGTGGTGTGACTTGGATATCAAGTAGTTGAGAAGATTGTAGTGTATGGCCCATGCAAGGTACAGTTCTTCCAAACAAAACATTTCTTAGTTCTTCCCTCAGTGTAGAGCAGGGGTCTTCAAACTTTGCCCTTTTGTGACTTGTGGACTTCTACTCCCAGAATTCCTCATGCTGGCTGAGGAATTCTGGGAGTTGAAGTCCACAAGTCATAAAAGGGGAAAGTTTGAAGACTCTTGGTATAGAGAATAAATCAACCTTCTCTAGTCTGGTGACTCCAGGTGTATTGAGTCTATACAAATCCATTGGCCATTGCAGGCTTATTTCTGCAAAGCAATATTTGCATTTTGGAGAATTTTACTTGGTAGTAAAGATTCCCAAATGTTAACATGGAGGAGGGCGAGAGAAGGATTGGTTTCCAGTATTGACTCTACTAGTTTTTTTTTTTTTAAAGTCAATCTGCTCCTGAAGGTGTTAGACAGGCGACCCTATCTGACTACACCAGGTTTTTTGAAGAGTGGAGATTGGTGAGAAGTTCCTTTTAAAAAGGAAAAGGCTTTCAGCCTAGCCTTCCAAACCTAGAAGTCAGAAATTTAGCCCATAACCTATATGTATTTTAAAATTTACAAATGAAAACACAGTTAAAGCCACTTGCAGAGTGTATTCCTGACAAGCTTAATTAGCAAGCACAATTCCTCTCAAGATTCAAGAAAGTCATAAAATTCAAAAGCAAGAGTGAGGTTATTGTCACATCAAACTTCCATTCTTTATCATTTCTTAATACAGCCCAAAATTTATGTTGCTAAGTGAGAAATTTGTTAAGTGAGTTTTGCCCCATTTTTACGACTCTTCTTGCTACATTTGGTAACTGAATCACTGCAGCAGTTAAGTAGTAACATAGTTGTTAAGTGAATCTGGCTTCCCCATTGACTTTGCTCGTCAGAAGGTGGCAAAAGGTGATCACATGACCCTGGAACACTGCAATTGTCATAAATGTGAGTCCTGAATTTTGATCACATGATTATAGGGAAGCTGCATTGATCATAAGTGTGAAAAATGATCATAAGTCACTTTTTTCAGTGCCATTGTAACTGAACAATCACTAAACAAACTGTTGTAAGTCAACAACTACTTGTGTATAAGTTTTCTCCAAATAAGTGTCTTCTTAGAAATTACAGGAGTTATAAATGAATGGCACAAGTAGGAAATGGTTACATTACTTTATACGAACCTAAAATATGAAGGGCAAACAGAAATATCTGATCATATGGATTGAGCCAATTTTGAAAACTAAAAATAAATAATCATAATGTTCAATGTAATTATATAAACTTTTAAAGGAATATTTAGTTTCCCGTTGTATCAAGTGGTATCATGCAAAATGTTTTCTGTTAATGCATTGAAAATTATACAGCTTGAATTCACTCTTTTATATAATTTTAATGACTTTTGGGGTGGGAGACAATGATGTTTCCAGATCTAAGACTAAAAATTGAGCAAGCAATAATAATAATTTTACTCGTACAGATTCTTTGTCTTATTATTAGAGAATCACTTTAAGTAATGTCATTCTTCTCCCAAAGTATATAAAACGTTTTGACTTTTCTGAAATATCTTGTTCCCTATCATTTATCTTTTAGCAAGTTGATTTGTGTGGCTGGCAATTATTTTAATATTACATTTGACAGCCTGGGGAGAGGGTGGGAAGGAGGAAGAAAAAGAAGTCGGTGAAACTAACTGAGCTGCTATCTAAATCAGGATTAAGTGTGATATTAGCCCTCTATAAGCTCACCCACTCTCACTTTTCATCTCCTCTTCTAAGATGAGAACTTTAGATTTCAGTTTCTTTCCTAATTTTTGTATAAACAATCTGAAAACATGTTTCGCCATACTAAATAACATAAAAATACCAAGTATATAGAAATATAAAATCTTGGATAGTATTTTAATGTGCATTGCTTCTATAATCTATTTTAATTATTAAAGGAACTTATAAACTGCCCCAAATATGACATTTCCTGGGCTGTTAAAATATTTAAAACCATAAAGATTCAGAGCTAAAGAACCAAAACAGTGTATATTTTGTTTTCTCTTGTTTAAATTAGAATTTTAGCACTGAATTTAATGAAGTTTTGCCATCTTAAAGGATAATTACTTATTGATCAAATTTACAATCCACTAGAATAAAAAAAAATATTCAGTTGCTTCACGGGAGGAAAGAAAATGCAACTGTTTCCTGGATTTGTCCAACATTTGTTGTCTAGGGAGTCCAATATGCACGAAATCCCTTCACATACCTAGTGCCACCACAACTCCATTGTGTGATGATTGCAAAATGCGCCCAGCCAAGGGGGAAAAGGGGTTTTCTGATGCTGTGCTATGAAGATAATTGTAAGAGAGAGCAATGGTTGATATAAATGCAATGCTGCTAGGCTTAATTGGGGAGAATGTATTAAAGGTCTTACTAAAATCTATTTCAGATGAGGGCTATTTTCTGTTAGAAAGCACAATTTCTATTGGTATCCATCACTTTCCAACAATATTATAGAACAAATTGATTTTAGCACTAAGGAAAGACAGGGAGGAAGCAAAACAACTTATGGTCCTTTATTCAATGGCCCTGGAATGCTAACTTATATTAAGGGGGTGGAGAAGAGGGTAAGAAATGAAGATAGAATGGGGAGAAAAGAATGCATGGCTGAAATCCAGAACAGAAAGAATTCCATATTACAGTAGTTTTGTTGTCTATTCCTTTTGTTTATAACTTTTTAATCTTTCCATGAATCATTTATAATTCAATATATACAATTTTAATGATATGGCATAAAGCCATATTTCTTTAACATTTATGCTGACTGATTCATAATTAAAAATATCGATTTATTTATCAGGATTGGGCAGCTTTCCTACTTTGGCAGCAGATACAAGGGTATTATAGAAACATTATTTAAGATGGACTTTCAAGGATGAATGCAATTATACAAAAATATAGAACTTTAAATATCACTGCATTGTAAATAATTTAATTAGTATGCGAGTCCTACCTATTATTAGTCTTTGAGCATTTGAGAAAAAAAATAGTTTATTGATTTTATGAAACAGTCCCAGTCCAATCATGTGTCAATTAAGTCTGTATCTCACAATCAAGCAAATAAAATTATGGATTCCAAAGCTAATTGAGAACTATTTAGTGTTCTTTAAAATAACAATTCCATTAGCTTAGATATTCCTGCCATTTCTCAGGCAGTGAAGTTTACCCCATATCTTTAAAAAGCCCTGCTTACAGATAGATATGTATAGGATTGAAGCCTTAACTTTTTTTATATATAGGAAATTATGATAAAGTTAGCAGACAAAATTTGTATAAAAAGCTGAAAATTCAAAGCACCTTGAAATTTAAACTCTGAGAAATAAATTAATTTCTGATTTATCAATAACACTGGATATATCACTATACATTGTATAACTTTTGTTCCACATTGTGAAATGAAATTAGTAACAACAAATAAAAATGGATTATCTCATATTAATTCAGTATGTTTTCTCTTTAGATTGAGAGGCACTAAGAGCTCAAAAATAAAACAAGAGACATTGTCAAGATTGATCAAAATATAAAGAAATTTAAAAATTGCATAATCTCTCTATGAAGACCTAAGAAACTGGAATGGGGATTTTTTTTACTATTGTATCACAATGAATTTATTATTATTATTGCATAATCATATCTTCTGCCAAAGATTCAGAAGTGAACTACTAGTTATGACATGATATTTTAATGAATATGATGAGGAAAATTATTGGATCCTGCAACATTATCCTGGGACACATGTATTCACCTTCATTTGTAAAATTATTCTGATTTAGAAAAGTCAGCAGGATAGCACATCATTTTTAATGAAAGAATTAAGTATATGTCAACATTTCCAAAGTTCAAAGTATTGACACTAAAAATGTTAACCATGGCTGAATCATGCCCATCATAAACATTTCTAGTGATATTTAAACAGCATGCAAATCATATCGGAGTATAATATCTATCTTCTCTTTCAAACATTTAATTACTACATGTTTATATATATCTACATATATATATATGTATAATAGAAAAGGAAAATATACCAATGTAACCAGGATGATCATAGAACGGACTGCCTATAGAACAGAAAGAAAAAGAAATATATCATAGTGAAACAACATGTGTAACTGCATCACATTTACATTTACTTTATATTTAATGTAGCACTGAGCTTACCATTGCCAGAAGCAAATGATTAATTCTAAAATTTCCTGGCCATGGGAGCAAAATCCCAAATCAAAAGTGATCCCTTTTACACATAGCATTACTTCTTCTTACTGCAGCCTTTGCATGACCTCAGATCTGGAATGACATCCTGTTCTCCAGGATGGAACTGAGTGCATGAAGGATGACTGTAGTATAGAGAAAAGATTTACTCCATTGTTTGGCACAATTGTATTTCACTTTGATAATATACTAATTCAACAATTTTCATAAAATTAGAATTCAGATTTTAATTGGGATCATTTATATCTATAACTATGAAACAATATTTTCTGAAAGAAAGAAAATAATACAATAGTCTGAATAGTTCCACTCCAATCCTTAATGCAGACTTCCCTTACTTAGTTCCTTCCAAGTATGTTGCAATACAATTTCCATAATTCACAATTAATAAAATCTGACAGCTACAGTACAATATATTTAGGAAGATACCATGTTAGGGAAGGTTGTGATACTAAACATGTGTCATACATTACACTTTTTTAAAAAAAATTGGTCATTCATTTGAAATCTGCTGTAGAAATTTAAGTGTTAATCTTGAAAATAAAAGATTTTCAGTCCATAAATCAACATCAAGAAAAAATACACTTTTTACTAAAGATCAACAAAGACAATTTTCTTTTATAATGTTACAGTTACAAGATTAGCCTAATTTAGTAAGACTGTCTCCCCTCCCCACTGCACTCCCAATTATCTGATGAACAGATAAATCCAAACATGTAATGTGTTTGCATTAGAGATGTATCCTAGTTTGGAACACTCCAAGTTCTGAAAAAAAGCCACACCATATTCTAGTGCTTTGTTCAAAGCTTGGAAAAAGTGGGGTGTTTGTTCTAAATTTTGAATGTTCCGACATATCACATTTGGGTTGTTTTTGTTTTTAAATTCCTTAAAAATATAGAGACTTGGAAAGTGCATAATAATAAAATAATAGGCACAGCTACTTAAGGAGAGGTTAAGATAGAGTGAAAGTCACATGCTCAAAAGATTTGAAGCCATTTTGGAATGTTGCTCCTGAAATGGAAAGAGAAGTTAAAGACTGTAGTCAGATTTTTGAGATTGAAATTTATAGGTGAATATATTGTTGCATGCCTAGACAATTATTCTTCCGTCTTATGCTCTAAAGTTAATAATACTATGTAGGTTAATTAATTAGTTAAGCAAGAGGTTAAGAGGAAAGGAAAAAAGTATGAGAGAGATTCCTCTCCCTCTTGTGTTTTTCATTTATCTTTAATTATACTTCTACATCTAGTTCCCTCTATTCTTCCAAACAGCTCCCAAATAAGTAGTTGTTCTTTATTTGAGGAGAATTCAATTAAATTATTGTAACATGTTGGTACACAGTGCATATCATTTTCCTGGTACAGTTACATATTGGTTATTGGAATTTCCAACTACCCAATAGAGGGTGATTGAATATCAAACCCTACCCTCACCCTCCAGACTATCACCAGGCACTTACAGTTTATCAAAACATTCATTAATTGGCACTGATGATGTGGCTAGGCCCCATTGCTAATTCACCCAACTTACATAGTGTATACTGCCTCTAATGTTATGTGCTGTTCAACTGAGGACATTTGGAAAGGCCAACCAATTAGACATAGAAAAAAAAGACTTCTCATTTCCTCATAGCTAAATTTCCTATTGTTTTACATTCTTTGCTGTGAAGAAATTGAAGTTGAGTTTTAAGTTATGTAGCTGCCCAATGTGTAATTTGTTATGTTTTCTTTTTTAGGCACACTGCCAAGTGTAGAAATCTGCCTCATGTATATGTTGTACAGATAATATTGTTCTGCTTTTCAGCTTTCACACTGCCAAATGTGAGCACTATGTTGCTTTAGTTTTATGTGGAACTTTACAAAAATATTATGTAAGAAAAAAACATATATTTTGCTGTTAATAACATGATAAATGGGTTGTGCTGAAATTCATCTACTGGTACTACTCTTTTGCTGAAATCAGTTCTGTGGCTGTTGTGCAGGCACTAGCAACAGAAGGCATTGAAACAATGTTGCTTACACAATTTGCTTTGGAAATTGTTATAATGTTGAAGAAAAAATTAAAAATCATTTCTTTGATCATTTTTTTCTGTACATCAGGTTGTACGCAGACTACTATGCCACCTAAGACACTAAACGAGGGAGTAAAAGGGTTACTTCAAGTTCAGATTGTTCAGATGGCAAAACACTTGAAATATTTCAATTTCTGTTTGTCAGAACAAGATCCACTCAAATATCCTTAAGAGATATGTTCTGAGTGGGACTGTTTGTTTCTGGGCCAAGAACACAATTTCTTGCTTTGTATTCACCCCTACTTTGCACCTGTTTCAACTCAGGCAGGTGGCATCATTTTATTTATACTCTTTTAATTATTTCTTGATCATTTTACTAATCACTAGAGAAAATAAATGCATACCATAATATATGTTATATGCCTATGAGGAATTCTCACATGAGCTTGCTTAGGAGACTCTGGGTTGCCTACCTGTAAGTTCTGTCTCATCTGGGGTTGGAAACCAGCATTCCAGGTATTGCTCTGTGGAGGAAGAGCTCTGTGAGCTTACTCATGAGACACTAAAGTGCCTACCTGTAAGACCTGTCCCACCTGGTCTTGAGCTTCAAAGGGAAAGGCCCTACAAGCTTTTCCAGAAAAAAAAGGGGGGCTGAGGTCCACTCAATGCCTGAAAGGAAGACTTTAGTTTATGTACTCTGACTTCTTCTGATAACTATTTTTATGGTGTCTTGTCTTTCTTGGGAAAGGAAAGGGTCTACAAGACTTAGCAGAAATTTGAGAACTCAGTTCTTTGATGCAACTGATACCACGTTATGATATCATTTTTTCAAATAGGAGAACCATTACATGAAGGCCAGGGCACACTAATGCCATTAGAAGGTTTCTGACATTTACTGACCTTGTACACTATATGCTAGTCCTCTGACATGAGCTGGGGAACGTTCCCAAAGGCAACAATAAACACATCCCAGTGAGGAATCCAGGCCCAGATGATCTTTGCGTTTTTCTTTTTGACTTATTCCAAATTTTAAAAAGGGTGATTTTATTGTTAGTTGTAGCTATCACTAAAATTCTCAGAACTTGCCAACAGAAGCCAAATTAAAAAAAACCAAAACAAAAACAAAGGAATATAACAAGTGTTTGACTTTTCACATTTGTTTCAAAAACCATTTTTCCTCTCCTGCTTTAAAAGTAAATTGGCATTCTAATCCTCTATTCCTTATTTTAGAAACTTTTGGAACAATTTCAATAATCATAATAGTAAAAAGAAATATTACTGCCTGCTCTGAATAAGAACAGAAGCCAAACTTAACCTCAAAATTTTGTGCCCAGATCAAAAAATATTTTTTCTGTACAGCTTTATGTACATATTTTATATTAACAAATTATCTGGATAATGAACCTGTCTCTATGTCTAACTGGTTTAAATATTAGTAATAAAAATTACATGTAATTACATTTGAAACATATTATTATTCTCTAACATAAATTTGATAGTTTTATATGAAAAACTGGTGCAATTTTAGAACATTCTAAAGATGGTTTGAAATATAAAAAGCAAAATGAAGCCAATACTTTCTTGAAAAAAACTTGCACATGAACGTTCTGAAATAGTACGGGAAATTAGAAATTAATTTCTTTTCCCACTTAACTCTCCCAAGCAATGGAGAAGGACGGAATGAATTCCCTTCCTATATTGCACTTCTCTGTTTAGGGTTAATTGTACAATTTTCCTCCTGGCCAGGAACTTACAATAAAATGGCTGGTTGTAGATTGTTTATTGCGTCCCATAAACCACTGACAATAAAAGGCTCTTATTTGCTTAATAATCCTATTGTTATATCTGCATAGTTCTAACCATTTTCTTAGTCATAGTAACATGCAACAATAGACTTTAACAGACAGAACATTGTTACTAGATATTATGCATACCTATTGAAAGATTTACATAGCAAACGTTAAGAATAATTAATTACCTATCTCCGTCAGTACAGAATCTTAGCACACATTATGACTGTTTTCATCTTTGAGATAAAACTGATCTTCTGAGTTTGATTATGATAATTGCACTTAAAAGGTGGATAGATTTATCTTATAGCCTTTAAATCTGCAATTTTGTACACACTTTTCAAGGTTCAGTGAGAATATGCCTCACTAAACTCAGTGAAACTGACCTCTGAGTATACAAGTATAAGATCACACTGTTATTCAAGTATTTGTCGGTTCTATGATGACATAAAATCAATTCTAATCTCAAGGAGCATATTCCTGCTCATTAAACATCCAGTAACATTTAATGCTAGCACGTAGGCATGGAAATGAATATAATACCAGGGTGTGGGTCTACTTGTCATGTTTCATTGTGCAGAATGTACAATTTACAATGACAATGCAAAGAAACAATAGCCATGCTACGATTCCAAGAATGATTTGTATTCATCTTAAATAGCAACAAAAACTTTGAATGTAATCACAGCAGATTTTATCTTTTCACATTTATCTTTATTTACATAATGAGAAAAGATGGACAAATACTGTTTATTCTAATGTCCTTTTAAAATGCTGATAATCAAACTACATAGCAAAAAATGAATTTTAGTTTCTGGCATACTAAATTTAGGTCAGAGCCGAAAGAAGCAGCACATTTATCATGTTAAAACATATTCCTGCAGGAGTGAGGCCACTGGGCACAAGTTTATCTACCCCATTCAGGACTCTCTCCCCCACTTTAGGCAAAACTTTGCAGCACAGGAAGTCTTGTAGGGCTGCTTTGTAGGGCAATGAAGATATCTTAGATTGAAAGAAGAACTATGATTTAAAGCATCCAGTACAGAACACTGCTGGGAATACCTTTAAGGCAGATCATAAGTAGTGATACTTACTTATACCATAAGTACTTAAGAATCATAAGTAACCTCCAGAAATTGTGAGTGCTCCAACATTGGAGGTGTTTAAGGAGAAACTGGATAACCATTTATCTGAAATGGTATAGGGTCTCCTGCTTGATCAGGGAGTTGGACTAGAAGACCTCCAAGGTCACTTCCAATTTTGTTTTTCTGTTCTGTTCTGAATCCCAAACTATCATATATCTGCAAAGCACATTTCCAGGATATCAAGTATTTGACAACTATCCCAAGATGCCATCATTGTCTGTACAAGATCCAGGTCAAAGTATTCATTATTATGCTTGAAAAGTACAATGCAGGGAACAGAGAGCACACCTTTGCAAAATTTGAACTAATCTATTGTAGTTCCTTATTAGCGATATTAGAGTCACCTTACAGGGGAGATTGGGTGGCATAATTACATTCCATGTATAAACTATTCCAGGTGCAGAAGTCAAGGAGATTTTGTTAAAGTCAATGATATATTAAGTGAAGTAATAAAGCCATTAATAAATTTTATGTATCATTTAGGTTAGTCTTCTTCACCAGGACAGAATTTTGGCATTAGGCATCAAGCACTACTCTAACCCTATATGCTTATAAGTTGCAAAATAAAGAGAATAAGGCGTCTAACACTCTCTCAGTTCTGTCCACATTCAATCCACTTTTATTTCTTTTTCCTTTATGTACTGCCTTTTTTTTTCTTGAGGGGAAGAAAAAATCTTATTCAACCTTCCCCAAGCTGGTTTTCTCCAAATGTATTACAATACAACTCCCATCATGCCCCAGCCACCTTAGCCCATAGCCAGGCAATCTCTAGCCAATTAATTTACCATTTTTTTTCTTTTAAAAGTGTCCCCATAGTGTTACAAATTTATAGTTTATTTCACCACTATGATTGCATTTATGTGATCTCGTCATCACAGAAAAAACAAAAAAATCCCAGCATTCTTAGAGTTTCCTATAATTAATAATTCTGCTAGCAGTAGTGATAAAAAGCAAAGATGATATGACTTAAATCACATTTAATTAAAATCACAGGTCAGTATAAGAAATGCAATTAGCTTTAAGTATATCTAAAAAGAAGACTTAATTGTTTTTATTCAAAGGAAAACAGTAATTTCACATTGAAGAAATTATGCTAAATCCATCTGATCTAATCAGTTACTAGAAGCAGACCCTGGTGACTGATGACAAAAAGAAAGTAAAAGTTAAGCAAGCAAATGGATGGAAAATGCTCCCTTCAGTGGCAGTAATATACTTTTAATCTCGTACTGCAATATTGGAAACAAGAAAATATTACTTTTATTATGAATTTAACCATATAAGAATAATCTATTATTGGCTAAAAGAAATATTTTAAGCTATCATATAAAGTTAATAGCTGTTCACTCAGAGGAAGATTATATTATATTTGCATATCTTTGCTTTTTAGCATTTTAATCATCTGACCTTTTATCTTAACAGTACAAGGGATTAAAATTTTCTTTATTCTTTATTTACTCTTGCAAATAAATAGATGAATGCTTAATTTTGAGTGACATTATTACACCTAATGCTACCATTATATATATAAAAAACTACTTAATGCTTCAACAATGTTCTAATTATATTATTACTTACTACCTCCAGGATCTTCCATAAAATAAGCAGATATGTTGGCTTCATCTTTTCCATATTGATTCTGTGCCACCAAAGTATAATTGCCATTGTTGACATGCGTAGGATTGTCCAGCTGGAGGCAGCCATGATATTCTGTCCGATTGGTAACATGAATTTTGGTCCAGATATATTCTGATTCATTCAGTTTAGCCCCATCATGCAGCCATGTCAAGACAGGTTGTGGATTTCCCCTCACACTGAATGGAATGCACCAGTGATGGTCCGAATACGGTATTTCAAGAAATGTGATATTTGGTGCAACTATAATAACAATGAAAAAAAACCTGAGTCTTTCATGTATTCTCTTCTTTGTCAGTCAGTCAGCTTGTTCAAATAAAATACAAGTAGAAAGGTAGAATGAATGGAATTTGAAAATAATCTTGTTTGGGTATAATAATAAAGGAATTATCTAGGAGACGAGTTGCTAGAATAGGACCCATACCACCTCTGTTGACTACCACACCATTGGTGGGTGGTGGGAATTGATTTGGGGGCTTCTCTGGGAATCAGGACAGCTGTGCATTTGCTCTACCAGATGCCTCCTGATTTAGTCCCTCCATTTCATATTCCTTTTCTAAGGTTACTATCAACACTAAGAACTGGCAAATTTCAGTAGTTGATGAGAGACAGTCTTAGAAAGTGCATCTCCTTTAAGAACAGACTACTTTAGAGGATGGAATAAGAAATAATTTTAAGATTGACTGGAACATCGTCTGTTAATGGCATTTACCCTACTGCTAGCATTTACCAATATCACTTGCTTAATGGCTGACGTAGTAATAATAATAAATACAGTGAATCCTATAGCAAATTCAGACAAAGAATTTCATTGGTATGATGGCATAGTAATTATGGCTATAAGTCATTGAGGAGAATCAGAAAAGAAAAGGATACAATTCTCAACCTAATTCACTTCTTGCAAATATTTTATAAACGATCTCTCTTTCTGGGAAAGGTTTAGCATAAATTCTAAAATGTTAGTTCCCAATTTTTTCATTAGGCTACGATTTTCTGCATGAAAATTTTGTATAAAGTTATTTACATACAGAAGACGGTGAGGTCGACAGAAGCTTGGTCTTCACCCACAGTATTTTCTGCTATACAGTAAATCTGTATGCCACTGTCACTTGATGAGACATTCTTTATAGTAAGAGAAGCTGGGTTCTTATTTGTATCACTCTAGAAGGAATGCAAAGAACAGGCTTAGAGAATTTCCACTGAAAACCAAATATGATCTTCTGCATACTATTAATGCCAACAAATGTACTTATCTAATTTACATAAGAACACTTTCAAAACCTTTATGCACTACTAATGTGGATGGAACAAACACCGTGTACACATTGCATGTTTTGTGGATCTCTTTGCATATAGACCAGTGGTTCTCAACCTGTGGGTCGGGACCCCATTTGGGGTCGAATGACCATTTCACAGGGGTCGCCAAACCACACAGTCCGCCATTTTTTTCCCTTTTCCCTAGCTGTCCTACTCCCTCTTATTGGTGGCCACACCCACTTGGGGGTCACCACAACATGGGGAACTGTATTATGGGGTCACGACATTAGAAAGGTTGAGAACCACTGATATAGACTATTGTGCCCAGTCCACCTTGGATGGCAGCTGGACAACATCCACCATGGTGAACAAGGTGGTGCCTCCTATGATACCATGGGCTTGTAGAACCCAGGGAGTAGAAAAGGGTTTTGGTAGTTTGACTTTCCACATTATTCAGCTTGTTTCATGCCCTTCCCAGCTCCTTAAGAAGCAAAGCAAGACATCCAGATGATTTCAGGAGATAATTAACATTTCCCTGAGAAAAGATATAATGTCATCCATTCTAAAGCAGCAGGTAATTATGCATTCTCTTTTGAAAAAGTTGAAAAAGTTATATTTGGACCCAAATATCCTTGATAACTTTACCCAGTTTCTAATCTTGCCTTTTTAGGGAATGTTATTCAGAAAGCAATTTAAAATCAGCAACAGAAGATCCTACCGAGGAAGACATTTTCTAGATCCTTTGCAGTCACAATTCAATATGGGATAGAAATGGTACTAATGGTACTAATCACTCTAGTCAATAAGTCAGAACACAGATGAGGGAAGTGTCTCCCCCCATTAGACTTCTAAGTACCATTTGATACAATTCACTATGATAATTCTATATGCTGTTTGCAAGGACAGTAGTTAGATAGTAAATAGTAGACAGTGTCCCTTGCTTGTGTGAGAATGATGAAATTAGTGGAAAGTGGAGAAGCACTCAACCCTTGGGTTCTCTGATGTGGAATTCCTCAGGATTCAGGGCTCTTTGTTTTAATATTTAACATCTCTAAGAAACCACTGGCGGAAGTTCAGAAAGAGGTGTGATTAATATGCTTATGATACCCAATTATAACTGCCACATGGAGATCCCAATGGAAGTCCTGAGCCAAGGGGCTGAAGGTTCATGGGATGAAACAAGCTGAATTTTAATCTCTACAAGTTGTTTTTCATCAATAAATAAAGACTATCCTATCAATAGTGGTCATAGTAATTACTCTGGATGGGGATGTGCTTTCCACAAACAAGGTGGTTCATGACTTGGAAATCCTCTGCTTAAACGACAGGTAGAATCTGGCACCAAGGAACCTTTGCTTAGCTTTGGTTGGTAGGTCAGTTACAATCCTGTCTGCATCAAGGAAATCATGATGATGTTAACTCATCACCATTCGCTGGACTATTGTAAGGTAGTCTACATGGGTTAGTATAAAATGCAGTGCCAAGACTCTTAGCAGAACACTTCCACTACTGCAGAATGACACCTATTTTAAATGGGCTGCTTAGTTGCCAGTTGCTTTCCATGGGCAATTGTCTCTCCCAACCCATTCTCCAGAGTTAGGTCCAACCCCAACCTTCCTTATGTTCTTAAAGAAGATGAAATGTAGCCTATCCCACCATCCAAGATAAATTAATGCCTGCACAAAACTTGAGTTTTGCCATTGCTAATACACATATTTTAATATTAAAATCTTACCTCATGTTTTGAAACAATATTACTGAAAACCCAAATTATCGTTGGTGATGGACTTCCTGTGGCTTCACAGTATAAAGTGATAGTTTTGCCTTCAACAACTGTGAGATTTTGTGTATTCAACCTGACTGAAGGCATGCCTAGAGGATAAGACAGAAATATTTTTATACCTGAACATATACAGTATAGTATATGTTTGTCAGTTCTCAGAAATTAACAGCAATATTTTGGCGCATCAAAACAGAACTTTATAATAAACAAAGTACCAATTCATTTGTTGAGATAGCCTCACAAAGGTTAAAGGACTTCATTCTACTGACAGTTTCATGTGGTAGCAGTAACTGCTGGATGCTATCCCTGCCTGAAGTAAAACTTTTTTTAATATCTAATATGAAGTATTTCTTTTCTCTATTCACCTGCTTCCTTATTGCATTCAGTTAAATATGTTTATCAAAATATGTAAAGGAAATTTAGATCATGTGACTTACTGGATTATTCTCCATTCCTCCCAAGTGAAGACATCTCCAAAGTAATCCATTCCTCATAGTAAAAGTGACCACCATGGAGTAGTCTATCATTAGATTACAGTTTAAAATACTCAACTATGCCACCGGTGGGACTATAGGCACCAAAGATTATTCTTAAAATCCTTTTCCTTTCCCCAATATTTGGAGGAAATCTCTCCACAAGATCTAGAACAGGCCTGGATTTATTTTATCTTTGTGCTTGCTTAAAACACACAACAAATACTGACTTCCATGCCTAATTTTGTTTTTTCCTGGTCACCCTGGAAAAAGTAGACTCCTGTTTTAATTGTGTGGAATATGTAAAAAAAAAAAGGAATGATTTCTGAATTCATGCAACATGAAAGTTTGTTCGTGTGTAAAAATTCTACTGATTTCTTGTAACCTGGCTATATGCTGGTGCCACCAAATATACCCAAGGAAATGTGTATACATATATAGGAACTAATAGACTTTACAGCATCCACTGATAAAATTTCATCAGATCCATTTAACTAATGTTTGATGTTTATGTGTACAGTTGGATATAAAATATTTTACGTTAAACATAGAAAAATCTTGTAGAGAAGCTTTTTTCCTCATTGCTGATATTGAAAATTAATCCTTGCCCATATAACTATTATCCATTCCAATTTACATAAAAATTCTCAAGGACTGTGCAATAATATGTTGACTACTATTATGTTCAATGGTGGGATCCAGCCAGCAGAACCGGTAGCTAATTTTTTGTTGCCCAGGCCCAGAATGGACTTCCAGAAGCGGCATCCACACAGAGAACCGGTTGTTCACATATTTGAATCTCACCACTGATTATGTTCCTCAGACAGGGATGTTCCCCCTTTGTGAGATGTCCTTGAAAATATGTTATCTGCTTTGTAGTATAGCTGCCTAGTAACTTGTGAACATAATGAAAGTTGGAAATATATTTTTTCCATAAGAAATAAAATTAAATGTGATACTTTTGGAATGACGACCAAGATGATAATCTGAGCCTTTGTAATTTTCTTCTTCTTTCAAAATCTGTACATTTCTTTTTTTAAAACAAAATATGAAATTATGTTCTGATACTGTTACTTCAGTTTGTCATTTGGAATACTACTTCATAAGGTGAATCTTGTATTGTAGTATTTGACAATGAATATGTACACAAAAATTTCCGATTACAGGCTAATGGACTGCTGCGGATCTCAACTATCCATGCAGATCTGAAGTCCTGTTTATTGATTTCAGAAAGTAAAGGCAAAGATAATGCTAGTTACAATTTAAGTAACAAAATGGAACAGCATAACACTGTCATTATGTCACATAATCTTCTAGCTACACTACTACAGTATATTTGCAGCTTAAAACCTAAGGATGGGAAGAAACTGAGAGAAAACAGACAAGGTTTTCGCACATACATACATCTCTCAAGAGAGGGAAAAGGAAATAAAAGTCTCCAAAGGAGTTACAGGAAGGGTTGTGTTGGAGTCAAAGAAGGAGAGAGAAAATATGGCTAGCAAATAAAGTGGATTTAGGCAATTTAAGGTTGCTGAAGATATCTATGTTCCTGTGAGATGGAAAATAATCCACAAAGATTCAGCAGAGCATTATCTACAGTGTGCATGGAAAACAAGAAGGTTTATGATAACATCTCCTACCCTCAGTGCACATTTTCCAAAATTCCAAGCAGAAAGATGACTGAACGATAAGTTGCTGATTTAACTTTCTGCTACTCATACATACACAAAAAATGCCAGGTAAGTCTAACAGAAGCCTACCTAAACACCTATGTCCCTAACAAAAGGGACACATCAGCAGAAGTGTTGCTTTTGGAGGCAAGGGGACGGTTTTGCAGAGCTATTTAATTGGAGGGGGGAAATCAACCTCTTAAAATACTGAATGCCCTTCTTCTGTGAAATGTCATGAATAAATAAAATCTGGACTGAAAGAACCTCCTTTCATCCTGCCTCTGAACAGCTCCACAAGCCTCTATTCAAAATTCAGTACTAGTCAATTTGCACTAAAAAAAATCTAGATTGAGAATGCTAAAAATTCAGGGCAGACAAAACTAGCAGAAACCTTTAACTTAAAGTAAAAAGAAGATGTTGTTGTAGATGTTCCAAACTGTGAAAAACGACACTCTTTTTTTGTACCGTAATTTATTACTTCACATTTATAAAATACTCTGAACCCTGCTGAACAATTATGTAACCTTTCAAGAGCATATTTCAAGTTCATTTATGTGAGGGTATGATTGAGACAGAATGTGAGCAGTATTGAAATAGTAATATTAGAATCCTCAAAGTCTCTCCTGGAAACAAGCCCTACCCTAACTATGTAAGTCTTATTTTAAAGAAAATATATACAAGTTCACAGTCAATAATAGTCAATAACTAACTCAGGGGTCGGCAACCTGAAATGCTGAAAAAGCCACTTGGACCTGTTTCCCTCACAAAAGAAAAAACTAGGAGCCGCAAAATGTGTGCACACAAACGTAACAGGGCTTGATTAAAGAGTGGAGCTAAGGCAACACAGGCACCGGTGCTGTCCCCATCCAGCTCCCCTTCCCCCAGGCCAATTGTTGCTGCAGTTGAGAAATGCTGATCCAGACCGATTTAATACCTGCTGGGAACGTGCACTTTCAACTCTGCCCTGTTTTTGGTAGAACGAATGTCGCAATACCTCTACTCTGGGCTCATCAAACCAGGGCAGAAACGGGAACAGGGCTGGTCCCATCACAGGTCGTGGCTAACACCAAAGGGTGTCGCAGATGCAAATGCCTCTCATTTGCTACCTGCAGAAGAAGACGCCGGTGGCGCACGGCCCGGATTGTCAGCGATGCCATGAGACCACCCCCTGCGGTGCCAGCTAATGTGGTGTGCTTCTCTTTGCAAACAAACGCGAAAGGTTTTGGGGTTTCACTCGCCCGCCCGAGTGGAGACCCTGTGCCGCCCCTTCTTCTGCGGCCAGGGAAAGAGGGCCGGCCCCGAGCCTGTCCTGGAAAACTTTTTAGGCCCCGAATATCCCCACACCCCCTTCCCCATCAGCCCAGGCACTGTGGATCCGCAGCAGGAGGGAACCCTCCGGACCTACGGTACTCCTGGCAGTGGCAGCGGTGGCAAGTGGATGGGGAAGGGCCATGGCTGCCCGATCGCCGCCGCCTCCTCTCCGGCCTCGCTTAGCGTGAGTGGCAGCGGCGGCGGCGACAGCGGGAGGACGGCGAAGGGCCGCAGCCACCCGGGCCGAGGTGGGGCAGGGCGGTGGAGAGCCCTGCGGCAGCGGTGGTAGCGGGAGAACGGCGAAGGGCCACGGCCACCCGGGTCAAAGTGGGGCCAGGTGGCGGAGAGCCCCATGGCAGCGGGAGGATGGCGAAGGGGCGTGGCTACCCGGGCCGAAGTGGGACAGGGCGGCAGAGAGCACAGCAGCAGCGATGGCACCAAGAGGCGCCGTGCAACAGGGGGGAAAGGGCCAGGCAGGTGTCGCGGGGAAATCTCTTGACTCGCAAGATGGCCAAAAGGCGCGGGCGGAGTGGGGAAGCTACTCGGTGACCCCCCCAACTAATAGAGGCTACGGCAGAGCAGGGTGAGGGGAGACCCCCTGGGCAGGGAAGAGGCATCCCGAGACTGGCCACCCGCGGCTCCTTACCCAGGTTCTACCACCTTTCCAACAATCCTCCCGGATTTTTTTCCGCTGCCACCACGTGCAATCTGAAGAAGGAAAGAGGTTTGTGGGCAGTCCCACAAACCAAAGAAGCTCAACCAATCAATTCAAACTTCGTGAGAAGTTTGAATTGATTGGTTGAACTTTTTTAGTCCTACTTTTTTTTCAGACTGCACATGGTGGCTGAGGACAGGGAGCCGCAGGAGACGGCTGAAAGAGCCGATGCGGCTCCGGAGCCGCGGGTTGCCGACCCATGAACTAACTGAACTTAACATGTTGAGGGGCAGAGGACCGAGAGCTACAATGAGCAAAACTATTATTCAAAATGGATGTACTATGGATTACACAGCTCAGTGAGGCTGTTCAGTTTTCTATAGTTTGCATGTGCTGCACCAACCATTGTCAGCCAAAAAGGAGCTCTGATAGAACCAAGCTTGTATTTGTTTCTTACTTAACCAGTCCTCTAAAATTTATGCCCAAACTTGCCTAAATCCAAGCTACTTAAACAATTCCATTCTACGCTGATTTTCTCAGTTTGATATTGTTGCAACCGTTTTGAAAATCATAGGTGAAATTATTGGGCTTCTAAAATGCAGTTAAAATATTTGAATATATTTTAAAATGCTCAAGCACAGTTTAATGTCTATAAAACAGCATTTTTTTGCTATATCACAGGGACCTTATTTTCATAGATAAGTATTTTTATTGGTCTCAGATTTTTTTTAAGATCATGATATTGATATGTTTTAATAAGGAAGCCATAATTCACTCAATGAGACATACCATGTCATTACAAAGCTTTGATTGGCAGTTATATAAACTGGAAGAAAACTCTGTATGTGAGTTGTATGTTTATTATAGCCTCTTCCACAGTTTTCGGTAACTGGAATTACTAGACAAACTCTCAAGAGCAAAATTAAACAAAACATCCATTAAAATCCTAGTGCTGAATATATTTTTGAACCTGGTTTACT